AGATATTTAAGTCAGGCCTTGAAGCACCATTTCTCAAAGTACCATTTCTCAAAGTGGAATCTGGCCTAGCAATCACATAGGTACTTGTTAAAAATGCAGATTCACCTGGGTCCTCCCCTAGCCCTACAGAATCAAAATGTCGGTATCTAACAAGTACCCAAGGTAGATGATTCTTATGAACACTAAAATTTTAGAACTTACAGTGACCTTTATGACAATCTACTCCCACGTAGTGAATAATATAGTTTCTCTTCCTTTTGATTTTCTTAATAATATTTAAGTAAGATTTAGCTATTTTATTTTATTTTATTTTATTTTTAGTAGAGATGGGGTTTCACCATGTTGGCCAGGTTGGTCTTGAACTCCTGACTTCAAGTGATCCCCCTGCCTTAGCCTCCCAAAGTGCTGGGATTACAGGCATGAGCCACAGCGCCCAGCCGAAAGGTATATTAGAATATATTTAAGGAAGATTTAGAAACCTGAAGAGTATTCTGAAAGTGATGCATCCTGGACAAAAATAGAAAACCAAAAATGACATTGGGCTTTAAAAGAGCATAAGGAACCTCACCTTGTTGGAGAGAGGAAACTCCCATTTGAAGTCGGGTGAGATAAAATTGGTTAGGTAGGCTGGAGCAGGTGCATAGAAAGCTTTGGACACCAGCTTCAGGGAGGTTGGCCTTTTTGTTGAAAGATAGTTGGTAGATAAGGAAGAACAAACAATGGTGTTTAGGAAAACCATCCTGTCCAGCTGTAGAGGGTGACTTAAAAAGAAAATAAACTCAGGGAAACCAATGAACAGGTTACTGCGATAATGCAGGTGTGAGATGGTGAAAGCCTGAACTAGGAAAGTGTTATTTATTGATTACCTGGGTGACAAAATTATCTGTATGCCAACTCGTGCAACATGCAGCTTACTCGTGTAACAAACCTGCACATGTACCCCTTGAACCTAAAATAAAAGTTAGAGGAAAAAAAAAAAAAAAGAAAGTGTTACTGGATATGAAGCAGAGAGGATGAGTGGGAGAAACCACTTACTGAAGAAACAATCAATCAGACATGGTAACTGACTTTTTTTTAAAGGGTATAGGCCAGGTGCTGTGGCTCACGCCTGTAATCCCAGCACTTTGGGAGACTGAGGCGGGCAGATCACTTGAGGTCAGGAGTTCAAGACCAGCCTGGCCAACATGATAAAACCTATCTCTACAAGAAATACAAAAATTAGCCAGGCTTGGTGGTACGTACCTGTAGTCCCAGCTATGCAGGAGGCTGAGGCACAAGAATCACTTGAGCCCAGGAAGCAGAGGTTGCAGTGAGCCAAGATAATGCCACTGCACTCCAGACTGGGCAACAGAGTGAGACTCCATCTCAAATAAATAAATAGGTATAAAGGGACATGTGTAAAGGAAATAATAATTCTCAGAATCTGAAGTCTACATGGAGGGAAGAAATAATGAGACCAGTGACAGAAATAGGGAAGCTGAGAAAAGGAGCTATTTTTGTGGCAATGTAGTAAGAGGAAGGATGTGGCAGGACATCCAAGTGGAGGCACCTTTTGGGCAGCTGAGTATCACTGATCAGAGATAAAGAACAATAAAGTGAAGACAGATCTTTGACACCAAGGACAATTCATTGAAGAGTTTATAGAATCATTGACTCAAAGACCAAGAATCGAGCTTTAGGAAATACTTAGAGGGAAATGGGATGGCGAGAAACCTGAAAGAAAAGGATAATCATCGGAGAAGTAGGGGGATGACAAAGAAAGAGCAGTGTCATAGAAGGCATAAGGGAAACAAATGTCAAGGAGTGGTCAAATATGTCAAAACGAATAGAAACAGAGAAAATTGGATCCTTAAAGATGAGTAGCCTGGCCTAACCTCCTGTACCTGAGTAACAAACATTCTGGGCAAAATATATTGTGAACCACGCTGATGTTCTTTCCCCACAAAACATAAGTGATAGCCTCTCTATCAAGAGACCTAGGTAAGATTTCATAGTGTCCGGTCCTGGGCTGTTTTCCCATGGCCCTGCTGGTTCTCTTCTTCTGTTTCTAGAAAAAGTCTAGAAAATGGAGCTCTCTTTGCTTGCCATTGAACTCATGTCCTGCCAACTCCTACCTAAGTGACAGGCAGGTCAGTAAAGTTTCAGGCTGAAAAATTAAAATTATTTGCCAAACACTAGTTTTATGATTATCTATTAACAACAGCCACAATGAATCGAGAAGGATTCCCAGTGTATTTCAATTAGCCTCTACCTCAAGTGATACATGAGTAGTATGGTTAGAATAGGCATTGCAGAAGTATGAATGGGGAACTGTCTCTTGTTTTCTGTCTATCTTTATTGTTATTGCTGGATATTAAATGCTGTAACTTTTGGCATATGTTTTTTCCAAAGTATGGTCTCTTGGGTCAAGTTTTCCTGAACTTGCCTGGTATTGGGCAAGTTCATACAGAAAATATGAGTCATTTCACAAAGTCCTGGGCTTGTGTATGTATTTGAAGGAATAGGAAATGGACTTCACTTGGAGCATTATGGATGAGGCTTGGACTTTTACTAACGAAATAAGTTTTAATCTTAACTCCGTTAAACCTTTAAAGACAGAAGACTATCTGGGGATGGATTCAGGCCAGTGAGATCACGTTGCACAAATCTCCTCTTAAGGGATCTTAACTGACCCAGAATTGTTTCAGAATAAGATTCCGAACTGTTGAAGGAGTTTTGAAGCCTTAAAACTTTGTGTAGGTTGGCCTAAAACGAAAAAAAGAATGCACTACATTTCCCAGGAGGCTTCGCGGGTGAGCCTCCGCACTCGGCTGGTTCTCTTTACCGCGAGGAAAGCTGGGGAATGTAGTGCTCCAGGCAACCCTGCACGTGACGCTGGCGGAGGAAGGCTAGAGAGAGGCGCGGGACGACGTCTAGGGAATAGAAAGGTACCGGCTGCTCCTTCCTGACAATTTGGTATGTGCTGCAAGGGGAGGGTCCTCATCATCTGGCCCCAGTGGTGTAATGAGCTGACTGGGATTCAGTCACTGACTCGGAGCCGCTCCGGGAAAGTCCTGGTGGGGAGGTTCCGAGGCGCCTGGTCCCGTTTCTCGGCAGTCAGGCCAGGAGGGGGTGGGGAAGGTGCGAACAGCCAGGGGCTCGGAGGTTGCGCCCTGCGCCCCGCGCCCCACCCAGGTTGCGGCCGCCGGGGGAGGAAGCACGTATAGGTTGAGTGCAAAGTTTCCTTTTTTGCTTTCTCGTCAGAGCAGCCCACACAGGCGGTGGGTGGGAATGCCTCACTTCAGTTTGAAGAGGGTCCGGAGCCAAAGGGGTTAAAACAAGCGACTCCCCCACTTCCCGCCTCCCTAAAACGCACGCCCCGCTAGCCATGGGCAGCCGCGACCACCTGTTCAAAGTTCTGGTGGTGGGGGACGCCGCAGTGGGCAAGACGTCGCTGGTGCAGCGATATTCCCAGGACAGCTTCAGCAAACACTACAAGTCCACGGTGGGAGGTGAGACGTCTTTCGGGGGAGGGGGAGGGGGAGGAGGAGGCCTCGACCGCGGACTCCAGCTGGGGACCCAAGTGGGATCCGTATTTGCTGTCGGTTGTTGGGTCCTTCTTCGGGTCAGGAAGTACTGTCTGGGAACCCAAGTGGGATCGGGATTTGCTGTCGATTGTTGGGTCCTTCTTCGGGTCAGGAAGTACTGTCTGGGAACCTAGATGGTGTAATTGCCGGGTGTTTCGTTTACACGCCTCTCTTGAGTTTCTACACGCCTCTCTTGAGTTTCCCCCGTTAGATTTTTCCCAACCTGACCCCACTGCCAGGAGAAAGGTAAGAACAAAGGCGTGAAGATGAGAAATAGGGAAGGGAGGATGAGGATAAGCAATTGCTGTTTATTGCAGGCGCACTGTGAACTCAAGTCTCCAGCCTTTCAGCTGTCTGGCATCTCTCCAATCAGCAGAAGCAGCTGAGATCCTCTGGGGGCCTCCTGGTTAGGTGCCGGCTGGGGCTGTAGTTCTGCACCTCTGTTGAGGAAGGAACCGCAAGGTGTTTAACCTGGCTTCAGTGGGAGAACGCAGGAAGCGGAACTGGTCTGAAGGACTCTAGCTTTGTTGTGGGGCTGTGGGTGGGATGGAAGACACAAAATCCCCAAACGAGCCCCTTGGCTACGCAGTCAGATGCCCATGAGGGCTGATGAGCTGTGTTTTTGTCCGTTGATTGCTTAAATAAAAGTAACCAAGGAATTCTTAGAAGAATGTGAAATATACCACTTCTCTGACCTATCTTCCCACCACTTTTTTCCTCAAACTGAAGAAGGTAGGGAGGAAGGGAACACTGAGTTCTTTCCTTTCTTTCCCGGGTATGGCCTTTTTACTCAACTATTTTTTCAGAGGTAGAAATGCCTTATGGTTAATTAGAAGGTATTTAGGAAGAGCTGGTGATGGGGGAGAGTAACTTAAAATTTTCTCTCTTAAAAGAACTTGTTTTAAGGGGAGAAAAACGTACCAATGGAAAAAGTGAAAATGTGTGCTCCTGTTCATATGGAAGTTTAAAAAGAAATTAAGCATTCACGTTGCAATTAAAACATTCTCCTTAAGAACCCCCAGTAGGGCCCAGTGCAGTGGTTCATACTTGCAATCCCAGCACTTTAGGAGGCTGAGGCAGGAGGATTGCTTGAGCCCAGGAGTTCGAGAGCAGCCATTGGAAACATGGCAAGACCCCACCTCTACAAAATTTAAAGAAAAAAGTAGCCGTGGTTCCAGCTACTCTGGAAACTCAGACTAGAGGATTGCTTGAACTCAGGAGGTCGAGGCTTCAGTAAGCCCCGTTCGCACCACTCACTGCACTGTAGCCTGGGCAACAGAGTGAGACCCTGTCTCAAAAAAAAAGGAACAAAACATTTAAGTCTGGCAAAATTAAAGGTTCAAAGTTTCAGACACACTATCCTGACCTCTCTGCCCTTCCACTCCTAAATAATATAAGGGTCCCTATTTCACGGATTTGGGTTAAAATTGGCCTTCTATTAATAGTTAATTTTTAACAATTGCTGTAGTTCTCCTTTAGCAAAGAATATAATTGACTCTGGCTAATTTTTTTTTTTCAGTGTTTAGTCTAAATTTCCCTTAGTTTTGATTCCTGTTACAGATGTGAAAGATAATATTTCCAAACCTCAGAAATTACTGTGTTTCTCTCCTTAGCCAAAAGCTTTTCCCCATGGAATACTTAGCCTTAAGGAGTCTCAGCATCTGCAGACTTCGTGGTAGGTTCCAGCAGGACTCTTCAGCAACATCCACACAGTGTCTTCTTGGGACTCCTCTGGGACCTTTTCCGTTTATTCCATTCTTGCCCAAGATAATACCTGCAACCTTATGGTGGATGTAGAGTTCCCCAGGGTGTGTTGTTTTCATAATACAATTTGATTAGAAACCAGCAGTGAAATTGAATGTGGAAGATACAGAAACAACCACACTTGTCTCATTTCCCCCTTCTCCCCCATCACCCCTTCCCTGAGAAAACCCCCTAAATCTCCCAGAAACTGTTTAACCTGAGAATGAGAGTTGTTTTCATAGTTACTCCCACCCCCAGTCTTGGAGACAAGTAGTAGCAAACAGATGAGCTTGACAGGAGAGTAAAAGCTGGAAACCCCTTTGGAGAGTGAGTATGAACCATCCATCTCACACTTAATACACACGTGTGGACTCATCTCAGTGAATTGAGGGCTTAAAGATAAACATGGGATTCGAGTTGTGTGTCATCGGATTGTCACTGCCTATTTGATTTGAGTTTATCCCTATTCATTTTTTACAGTGAAATTTTATTAAGGTATAATGTACGTATATTTTCAGTGGATTTTGCTCTGAAGGTTCTCCAGTGGTCTGACTCCGAGATAGTGCGACTTCAGCTGTGGGATATTGCAGGTAAAGTGGAAGGGCTGGATAGGAACGAGGGAAGAAATTTTGATTTAACCAGGAAAATCTGAGAAAAAAAAAATGGGGCAGCAAAGCCAGAAATTTTTTTTCTGAAGCTGGAATGATTGAGCTGCTCTGAGGACACACGAGCTGAATAGGTGCAGAGCTTTTGTAGATGTTTTGCCCTGAATAGATCTAGAGCAGTCTCTATGTGGATGGAGGGGCTGGCAAGGTGGTGGATTGTCCAGGCTATAGTGCATACTCCCACAGCAGGGGAGGGTACTTTTCCTAGGTTTAAGACTGACCTTGGTGAAAAACAAGATCCCCAGAAAATAGATACAGTAAAAATAGTGAATCCTTATTATGTGCCAAGCATTCTTCTAAGCATTTTAAATTCACTGACTCGTTAATCCTCACACCAACCCTATCATAAAAGCTACTGCTTTTGGAGA